TTCAGAATTAGGGGGTGATCCGAGTTTTTATCATCCGACTAATCCTCCCATCGTGAATGTAGTCGTCGATTAGCCCATTCACCAGGTTTTTTAATGGGTAGGCACTAATTGTTTTAATTTTATTGTTTGTGTAGTTTTTTTCTACAAACTTGTCAAAAAGGTTTCTTTTTCCAAATAGTAATATTGAAAATTCAATCTTCTTTATATCTTTGGTTATCATTCTTTATACATTAGTTCATACTTGCCTTGCATCCATATAAAAAAAAAAAGGTTACTTCTTTACCTTGCAATCATTGTTATATCGATTAAAAACCGAACCATATAACCATTGTTCTATCAAATTTCACATCAAGACAAACCCATGTAACCGAGAAGGCATGCCGATTTAGAGCATCCGAAACAAGACCGAACCGGAAATAACCAAGGGAGGTAAAGTTACTAGATGAGCTTGACTAGTAGGTGACTAGGTGTAGGTGGAAGTTTGAGTTATTTGGCCGTTACTACGCACTTGTATGATTTTTTATTTGATCACATTGAATGCTTTATTAAAAACTTTATCCCTTAACCAATGTAAAAACAAAGATTCAAACGTTAATCAATCCAATTCCACTTTGAAATATCCTGCAAAGAAGACTAGTCAATTTTGGTTGCGACGGTCTAGTAGATGCATGAATATCTGCTAAATAATATTAAACATTTTTATGAGAATGCAATTGATACTCTGCTTTTTCACTTGTATAAATACCATCACTACTTGTGTCTTATTTCATCACCTTCAACATCAAACATCACATCTCTTACTATTTTGTCTCTATATCTTAGTAACTAAATCAATGGGAGGTATCAAAGTTTACGGACACGCTCTTTCCACTTCCACCAGGAGAGTCATCCTTGCCCTCCACGAGAAAAACCTCGACTTTGAGCTCGTTCACGTCGAGCTCAAAGACGGTGAGCACAAGAAAGAGCCTTTCCTCTCTCGCAATGTAAGTATATCTATCTACCTATGATATGTTCCTATTATTAGG